GGGGGTGGTCTGGGTGCAGAGAACAAAAGCTGCTTCCATGTAACCTGCTCAAGTGCTTCCTGACAACACATCACTTACACCCCAAAGGTAAAATCACACCCCAGAAGACAGAACAAGCCTACACCAGCACGCTACCTGCTACTTGTTAAAGCTATAGTGAAATTTTAAGAGAAAAAGCATAACTCCTGAGTGCAGAATGGATCTGAGGCTGAGATGGAAGCCCACTCACCGTTGCTTGTTGGCGGAAACGGGACATTGGGCGGCTTCAGCCGGTAGGAGCCTGCGAGTCTGGGAGGGTTCGCAGATCCTGGTGGAGGCCCACGAAGAAATAAATGCTGTCGATACTCCAAACCTGGGTTTACTCTGTGGCTATTGACCAAACCCACGGATGGAACGTCTGGAGCATTACTAACCTCGTAGCTGTTAGGAATTCGGACGTGAAGGAGGTCGGAGAAGGCAGCCACCACGCTGCTGATGTTCTACAACAGAAATGCCAGTGAGCACACGTCACCCACCCACTGGCCCATGGATAGACACTCATACTTAGGAGAGATGCTGCCTGCAGGGCACACAACAGCTTCTATGTACACTCAGAGCCCCGGGGAAAACACCGCTTCCATGGGCGAACATCCACGGTAAGTTTCCATCAGCAGAAATGTTCTGCAGGGGTTCCCATTGATGGTAAACATTGAGAACACTATTTTAGGACTTAGTATCGGATGGGCATCCAGGACACACCACGGGAATGAGCTAGACCGCACCACAGTCCATGGCTACTCAAGACACCTCGGGAGAGGACCTATTTGTCCAGCTCCGGGCGGAACGCTGAAGTGTCTGAGAACGCCGGGTTACGTGACAGCTGTGTTCTCCAACCACCACCACGTCACACCGTGGGGCCCAGTTTGGGAGCCAATGAAATATCTTCACAGAATTAACAGTCAAGAAACGACTCAGCAATTCACTCGTGTTTGACATAAGCAGCTGCCACCTGGACAATGTTTATATTTTGTTTCCATAAAACTTTTACTGTTGACAGCTGTTTTCACAGCTGAATTACTTTCTGTGTGTAAACAGCTATCAAAGGTTTCTCTGTAAAGAGTTCTCTAAAGTTCACACCCTTTAGTTATGAAGACAACTCTGCCTTCATTCTGCCCTTCGGCCTGGACAAGGGTGAGATCACTCTGAGGCTTGTCTGCAGCACTAATGCACCAAGTGCCCAAGGGACATTAACCTGACCCCACTGGCCTCCCTTTCCCCCCAGGGCCCTGCTGCCCATGTTCATGGGAAGCCGCCCGTTGGAGGTCTAAGAAGCGAGACCCATTCTGGGACATGGGGACCCCTGGGAGCTTTACCTCAGCAGCTGTGGGGTGCAGAGTGATGGCCACAGATATGAGACCCGACCTGGGGCCATTGGGGGAGGAACCAAAAGGTGGCGAAAACAAGAAAGTGCCTGGCTCAGATTTGATGTCATTCCGTCTGGACTCTGAACCTGAAAAAGGGAACAAACCGGAGGAGGGAGGGAGACAGGAAGATGGAGTGTTAATCCTTTCCAGAACCAGAATACGGGCCTCAGAGGACAAGCGCACTGTGGGGAAGGCCGCAGCTGGCACGTCCCTACCTTTCCCGGCAGTGCTGGGAAGAATGGGAATGATGGGGGATGGCACAGGCTCCGGAGGCTCCTCTTTGACCAACGACAAATCTGGGTATCTGCTCACTTCTGTCCCCACCACACTCTCGGGAGAGGACGAGGGAACGAAGCTGTCAGGAGTGTCCCGTTCAGCACCGTGGTCCTGCACCCTATGAGAAGGAATGTGACCGTTGACATGGGCACACCCACCCCGGGCCTTCCGGCACTGCCCGGCCTCTACCACCAGCGTGACCGTGAGGCTCTTGGGACACGGCAGTGACATGGGAAGAGCTAGAGGTTTCCAAGGCAACTGGGGTTGGAGAGCAAGTGTGGTCTCAGGCTAAACGGTGTGGGACACTCCATGAACCTGGTGTCGCCCTCCTCCCAGGAGACCTCCTCACACAGGGAGTCCCCGTGGAAGCCAGCGAGGTGCGGGAGGAAAAGGGCACCTGGGCTCTCAGTCTGAACAGGTCACTTCTCTTTGGTCCACAGCTGTCCGTTCATAAAGTCAGAGACTTAGATGAATGACGTCTCATTAAGTAGAGGGCAGCTATCACCTCTCCCTTGGAGAGAACGGCCTGGGGAAGCAGGAGGCACCTCTCCTGGTCTGGAGTTGGCAGTGACAACCTACACGGGGACCTGAGTCCCCAGTCAGATTCCTAGACTCAAGAACTAGCCCAGAAGTCACAGAACTCCCTCCACAGAAGCACCTCTCATGTCTGACTCGGCTCTACTCGAGACTGTGGCCGTTCGTACACCCACCCATCGCATTAACAGTTGTGAAGGACGGTGGCCTTTGAAATATTTTACAAGGCGAGTCCCACTGCCTTGGTGTCTATTTAATTACTATTTAACTTCCTATTGTATATGATTTCTACAATTCACAAACTAGTTTTGTTTAATAACATGAATGTTTTATAAACTTTAAATTCTGAAGGAAGTTACTTACCAAACTTTACCCCTTAAATGTTTTCACAGGCTCTTCCTAAGACATCACAACACACACATACACATTTAAAAATGGGGAATAACTGCAAAATGTCTGTGAAAAGAGGACCTTCTTTCTACCTTAACTCCTCCTGGTTATTGTGAGGTGGAGTCGGCAGTGACGCCGGGACGTCGACGGTCTTGGGGCCCTGAGCTAGGGCTCTGGCCAACAGGTCGTCCTGGGGCCGGAACGGCAGCGGAAATGGTTTAGGTCCCAGACTTTTGGTAACTGGAAAAGCAAACACACACAACTGTGAATACATCAGTCAGAACTGCTGAGTGGGGAGAGCGTCAGGCTCTCCCCACAGCTGGCAGAGACACCCTCTGCAGGGCCCCAGGGTGTGGGGGGGAGTCCCCGTCATACCTTCGTGGCTCCCCAACACTCCGGCTTTCCCAGCAAGCTCCTCAGTCGTTGCAAAGCCGTTTGCCATCTTCTGACAGGCCACAGGAGGTGGTGTAGGAGGAAGAGAGGCAGGGGGTGTTGGAGGATTACTTAAATTATTCTGCTGCAGGAGACCAAAAAATTTTAAATTACATGCTACTGAGCAAATAAGCACGACCTTGCATAATCTAGTTCTGTGAGTTCTTAGCACGGGGAACAGGGCTACAGAAATCAGTCACAAGGCCTCTTCCTAAGTCGCACCGAGAGGATAACCATCCGAGGCCAGGAGGCTCTCTAGGGACAAACACCGTGACTGTGGGCACACTAACGCTCGCTGCCTCGGCCCAGCCTGAGCACCCAACCTCAAAAGCGAGAAGCTAACTTACATTACGCCTGATTCGACTCTATACAACTCTTTCCAAGTGCTGCTGCTGTAGCTGGTGAGGGACAGCTTTAAAACTCAACCAACGAATTGTAAAAAGTTCTCAAAAATTCCTTTATCATTAAGATATGCCCCAGTTCTATAAAAAACTTGAGAATTTGTGGCCCTAATGCCATCATTGTGACTCACATCCTGAATATTAGGATCTGGATTGTCCAAAATCTCTAAAAGAAGTAGAAGCAGGAGCACTAGCTCTAAAGGGACTGAGTCGTTCACAGATGCAGCTCATCCTCCAAACACTTCTCCCTGCTTCTCCTCTGTCACCAATTCGTCATTTGCTTTAGATTGTGGGAATCTACCAATAACAACATGCAAATCAAGTGCGAGGTGAAACTGCAAATTGGGAAAAGACCAAGGAGACGGCAGGCTGTGTGGAGCAGCTGGCAGCAGGAGGAAGGCGTTTACGAGGCCAGCCAGGTGCCAGCCGCGGAGAGCCAACACCAGCCGTACAGGAGCACCACAGGACAGTGGGTTCAGTACTAAGGTAAGAAGAGAAGCCTCAGGGAACCTGACGGCACTCCCAAACACGCTGGCAAAAGAGACTTGTTTTTGCAAAAGTAAAACGTGATTTAAAAAATAGTGCCAAAAGATATCCTTGATTTAGTGACATTATTTTAGTTGTCTAAGAATTAATGCATAATTGCAGTTAGTACCTAATTAGGCAAAATACACTTTAAGATTTTTTTCATTTAATTTTCCAGAGTAAATTCCTATGTTTTTTAGTCTATTTATTATGAATTTGGATTTGTTTTAAGAGTTCATAAAGATTATAGAGAAATAAATATGTATTTTCTCCACCATGGAAATACATAATGGGTATTTTTCACAATTTTTATTCTTTCCTCACAAAAATTTCAAATGTTCACGTCAGAAACGCTTCACCAGTAAAATATTAACTGTTTAGTTGAAGTTTAAATGAAACTCGGGAGACTAGGCGGAAACTAGACGGAAACAACGGGACAAGCTCTGCCAATGCTGCTAGTATCCAGCGAGGAAGCGAGGTGACGCCTTGGCAAGGAAACATACCTTGTGGATCAACTGAGAATAGTAATCCGAAACCCCGTCAAGGGTGGCACTGCCAAAAGTTCCTAGAAGTCGATTCCCACTATTAAACTGGCCACTGCCATAAGGAAGAAAGTGCGCAAAGTTCACTCCAATGATTGGTTCCATTAGAGGGAGCAGAGAGAGCTGCTATTGAAAAACACATTTGAGAGTAATCACACGGTAAACAAAACAGGGCGATTCTCAACTTTTCTAAGACCCGAGGCAACTTAGTCAAACAGGCTTGAGAAAAATAAGACTTAAAAATTTCAAGTATCAAAATGCTGGAATAAGTGAGACCACAGAATCTTTGAGATCCACCTCATAATGAGCTTCGTCCCTGTCTGTCTAAGGAGACGCTGCCAGTATCTAACGAGAAAACCCATTCTCATCTTTGCTCAACAGGAATCAGGGCGTGAACAGGCCAGGCAACCCGTGGCACTCTCGGGGCGTCTCCCACCTCGGTAACGACTGACCATAAGCTGGCCGGACAGTGCTGACGGGCGGGAGGCCGGCAGCTGCGCCTCTTTGCGTCCAGACTCACAAGGAATGCGGACGGCGCTCCCTGCGCTGAGCGGCTGCCCGGCAGCACCTGCCAGTGCGTTTACTGCGCTGTCAGCGCCAACAGGACACGCTGCAGTTCCGCAAACAGGAACTCCACTGGGTCCCTTGCTGAGATGTGTTACCCCTGCAACCCTCTACTTTGGGGGTGGAACTGCCCTGGAAGTTGTCACATCATGAATGGCTGACGGGCCGCGAGGGGAGGCTCACCTGCTTCAGGTGGGTAAAGGTGTCGCTGGCCGAGTCCGCGGCGTGCTTCTCCTCCTCCTTCCTCCGTTTCTTCGAGCGAGGGGCTGCCTTCTCCCCCGTCCTCTGGGTCCGTTTGCTTCGTGGTTTCTTGGTTTCACCTCCTCCTGCTTTTGGCAACGGGTTGTTGCCACAACCGAAGCCACCTTGCACGTGTGCCCCCAGAGGTTGCTGATGTAATCGGAAAGGTTAAGAAGTGAGCGGACTGTTCACACAGGGTTTCCAGCGCGTGCTCATCGCTTCCACCCTGACACACTCCTCGCACGGACTAAAGGTGAGGGAGACGGGGGCATCGAATGCTCTGTTTCCTGAAGCGTCACCCCTTTCTTTTCACTACGCTCCAGTATGCAGGTCAGTAGCCGCCCAGCTGGAGGGAAGGGCAGAGCTCCCGAGTCAGGACTACAAAGTGCACGAACATCAACGTCTGCAACGTGGGTATGATAAATGGTACCTCAGGGCAAGTGGGCAGCACGGCCGACGCTGGGATGCAGTAAGGAGCCATTACCCTCGGTAACAGAGTGTCTGCCCTGCCACCCCCACGTGGACATGAGAATGAGACACAGCCCAAACCTTCAGACATACACGGTCACCCTCACCCCGCTTTTTACCTACTCTCCAGTGTGGACTTCACGCCACTGCCCTAGTGCCCACTCTGCGCTATACCCTGTATCGGGCACTGAGGCCAGAAAGAGCTCAGAAGCGGGGCGAGCCCTCAGGGAGCTGATTACTGGGGGGCCCCATACACAGGGCGACGTGAGCACAGGGCAGGAAGACGTGTTTGAGACCGGCGTCTGGAGAAGATGGTTACAGAAATGAGTTTTCAAAGGTAACAAGACACTGGCCGGATGTAAAAGGGAAGGGGGAGTGGCGCCGGTGAGCATGGCAGCTTGTGGAGGGTGAGATCAGAAGGATGCTCAGGGACTGTGAGGTTCACTGTCCCAGGGGCAAAGGACGGGATGGAGAAGGCGGCTGGGGACCAACGGGACTGAGAAAGTATCAACCATTCACGGAAACGTACAAAAATGACACCAGCCTATCGGCTCAACACTCCTCCACCAAACGGCTGGACACGTGAGAGGAAAGGAAGCAGCAGCCGCTCGCCTAAAGCACGGACGACCCTGTCCCACTAGACACCGTCAGCTCCGCTAAAAAATGGAAACGCAACGTGAGCAGCTCTAAGGGAAGCTGATGAACAGCAGGAACACACCACAGCTTCTAAAGGACAAGGTAGCAAGAGACCATTCCTGCGACCCAGAAACTCTGTCTGAGAACCTTCTCAAGGACGGGCATCGAGATGCTGAAATCTCATACAGGTGCATTTATAAGGAAGGTCTTCGCACACAGGGGAAAAAGGAAAGCAAACCCAAAGGGAAACCACTGATCCATGGAAAATGACCCAGACAAGCTGGCTCCGGGTGCAGGATGCGCTCGGACAACATTGTTAATACACTGACGGGGGCTCCCGGCNAAGCTGGCTCCGGGTGCAGGATGCGCTCGGACAACATTGTTAATACACTGTTAATACATTGTCTGAGAGCCCCGGCAGTCGAAGGTCAGTGGAAACACCATTTTTCCCAGTAAAGATACACAGACATTCCTTCCTTGCTTTAGTCAGAGCCTGATGTGGGAGGGATCAGCTGACAGGCCCAGGTTACACCTGAAGGGCATCACCACGTCCCTGAGTTTTGAAAACCAGAGTAAACAAATCATCACTTAATACAGTTTATGGGTCTAAGTCAAAATGTGGGGTCCACAGAGACAAAACCAAGAAAATACAAACCGGTCCTGCCAAGTAAGACGGCTGCCCAATAGTGCTGAAGCAAACAGCACTGGCACCGCCCTGCACCCGAATCCTAAAATTGGAAGCTAGTGAGCCGTTGCTGGCACGAGTCACACTTACCGGCCCTTCGGCGGGGTTCTGCCTCTCGGCCGGCTCGCTGTCCCTCGTGCCGTCCTCTCCTGGGCAAACAGCGCCCTCAGGTTTCTGGGTCGCAAGGGCGGTGGCCTTCTTGTTTTTCAGTAGGTGCTTCAACAGCTCGTTGCCCGAATCTCCTTTGGCAGCAGGTGCCCCGGCAGGGTGGGGAGGGCTCTGTCCCGAGGAGACGGGACAGACCACGGCCGTGTCTGCAGCCTGTCCCCCAGCCTGTCCCTCTGAGGGAGGCCCCTCACAGCCCAGGGACCGCTCGGGCTCGGCCATCTCTGGGGTGACCTCCTCGGCGGAGGCAGGGGTGTCCACGGGCCTCCTGTCGGCCTCTGCCGGGGCGCACGCGTGCGCATGTGCCGACCCTCGGGAGGGCTCGCCGGGGGGCAGGCTGCTCTCCAGGTCCGCGTGCTGCTGGGCCGCAGCCAGGCCAGGAGCCGATGGGCCACCTGCTCCCACCGGCTCAGGTTCTCCCTGTGGGGGAAGCGCCCCGGGCGTGTGCCCTGTGGGCGTGGAGGCAGTCTCGGAGACACTTGGGGTTGGCGGGGCGGCCGTGTCCGAGGGCGGCGTGGGCGGTGCTGCGGGCTCCGAGTCGTCTTCCTTCTTCTTTTTCCGTGTTCTCCTCCTCCTGCCCCTCTCCTCCTGCGCAACGTCCGGGTACAGCGGGAGAAGGGGCGGCGCCGCTCCGGGGTACCCGTGGCCGTGGGTGATGCCGGGGTCCTGGCCACAGGGGAGACCACTGCTGGCTCCTAGTGGTGCCGCGGGCAAGGCAGGCGAGAAAGGCGGCCTCACGGGGGGCTGCTGGAAGCCGGCCCCGGGGAGCCCGCCGTGTGCCTGCTTCCCGGGGTGGAAGGTCGGGCTCCCGCCAGGAATCGATGGCGAATCGGGGACAAATGAGGGGGGTCCTATCTGTCTTCGCTCGCCGGTCTGCATGAACGTTGGGGTGGGGGGTGAGTTAATAGGCCCTTGTTGCAGGCCCTGTGGCGGCAGAACCTGGCCCACCTGCTGTTGGTGCTGAGGAGACTGCTGCAGTGGCCGCGGGGGCTGCATGAAGTCACAAGGCAGGTCGGGGCTGTAGAAGGGGACTTGGGGCGCGGCCGGCCTTGCGCTCAGCTCAGGGCCGGGCAGGCCGTGCTGCTCCAGCTCCATCCTCTGCTGCAGCGCTCTCTGCCGGTCCACCTCCTGCATCAGCTGGATTCGCTGTCTCTCCTGCTGCTCCCGGAGACGCTCCTTCCGTTCCCGTTCTTGAAAACTTTCGCTGAAGGGGTTGTTGTCATCAAACTCCACGCGTGGAGGTGGGCCACTCTGCGGACTTGCACTGGGCATTGCCCCTGGGGCTGGTGTGCAAGTTTTCATTGGTAACTGGGCAACTGGAGGCTGGATCCGAGGAGGGTTGAGGGGGAGGTGAGCAGAGGCGCTAGGCGGCTGCCACCCAGGCAAGCTGGGCATCCGCGCGGGAGTGGTGTGGCCGGGAATGACAGCTGTATGCTGCAGAGGCTGGGCCACCAGGGGGAAACCAGGCTGGCCCATGGTGGGCGGGGCAGCTCCAGGCAGGAGAGTTGGCTGGGGCGGCACCCTGGGCATGACGGTGGGTGGGGCCATTGCACACTGCTGCTGCTGCTGCTGCTGCTGCTTGATCCGGTAGTCCTCCATCAGCTCGGCATGCTCCTTCTGCTGCTTCCGGATCTGCAAGGAGAGTTAAATCTCACGGGTGTGCACTGCAGGTGCGCGGCTAACACTGGCCAGGGCTCTGGGGGTGGGGTTATACTGAAGGTAGTTCCATTTTGTACAAGCAAAAACACTTTGCTTAGGCAATGGCTAAAACCACAAGCTGGATCGCTATGCACTACCTAAAGACTGCCAATCTTGTTTAACAGGAGGATTTTTCTAACCATCTGTAAAATTTACTTACATATGAAATACTAAAAATAAATTAGAAATATTTTCTGAAACGAGTAGTAAGAAAACCTTACTGTGAAAGTCAAACTGGTTAACCTGCCCAAAATAAGGAAAATCTCCATAAGAATCAGCAAACTGGGACCCTTAGATGTGACATTAATACACGAGTTTAGAGTAACCGTGAGACGCAACCCAAACTTAACCACCTAAGCATGTTACTATTTCACTTCTTCAATATACAGAATGGCTTGACATGTTAGGATAAATTAGTAGCGTGTGGTCCATACCCTCCCCTCCAGGTTAAAAAGACTGGACTGGAAAACCCTGCCTTTAACAGCTAACACGCTCAAGTGATGATTTCTGAGATCTGTCCAAGGTCATGTTCTGAATCGTTCCTACCAGGGTCCTGACTGACCACTGTCAGTTAACTCATTCCAAACTCCTCTGTGCCCTGTGCGAGGTGCCACAGACTCATCCCAACCAAGAAACAACCCAAGTCCTGGGGGCACATGGCCTCCCTGAGGGAGGTAGGAGGGAGGGGTGCTGGGCAAGTTCACATCCTTCACAATCACCCCATTTTTGGGTGTATATACATTATATCAGTAGTTCTAACAGATTTTCAGTTTCCCTAGCTCATGGGCACATTTTCTGCACATGATGGTTCTGACCTGCTCTCCAGTAGCTGTAACTTCTGTTGTATTTCCTTACGCTTCCTGACCAGTTTACTGGTTAGAACTGAGGAACTGCGATTGGCCTGGGTACTCCTAGAGCAGTTCCTGGAAAACAGAAGGTGGTGGTCCCTGCCTTTCCCAGGACATTTAAAAATACTTTAAAAAACACTGCCAGCAACTGCTTATCTTGATGATATCACACTGCATTGCTGGCTACTCTACAGTAACAGAAGATGTGCCCACTGTCCAAGCACAAAATTAGCTTCTAAGTAGGACTTGATCATGGATATGCAAAAACCAAGCCCCCACCATACAGAAATACACTGGAGACAGTGAAAGTGCTAAAGTTACTTTATAAAGAAATACCCACCCTTAAAAGGACATTTACTTGTAATAAGCACAAACCCAGAGGGTAAATTTAAAGAGAAAAGAAACCTCTCATTCTGGATTAGTCCTAGTTTTCATAACAGATATTATAATCACCTTATTGATGGTAGCTATAGCTTGGAGATAAGTTAGCTGAATCAAAACCCTTAATTCAAGTCAGTATGAGGGAACATGTCACCTACCCCTGCGATGACCCACAGGTTCTTCACATGCACAATGGTGATAACACTCACCTCCTCAGAAGGCAGTAGAAAAGGTTTACTAGAGTGAGTGTTCATTACACAGCACTCGGTTTCTGTCAATCTACTCTGAAAGCCTCCCTTTCTACTATTAACATTTAAATTACTTTTCAATTTTATAAGTTAAAATTGACAGAAGCAAAGGTGACTTTTTGGGTGTACAATCCTATGAACGTTAACACACACAGACATCAGTGTAGCCACTGCCACAATCAAAACACAGAAACTTCCCTCCTACTACACCCCCACCCTTGCAGTCACGCCTTCCTCCCCCATCCCTTGGCCCTGGGAACCACTATTGTCCATCTTTATAACTCTGTCATTTCAAGAACGTCATACAAATGGAGTCAGCAGTAACGTTTTGGGATTAGCTTCTCTTACTCGGCTAATGCTCTCGAGGCCCATCCACGCCGTTCTTCCTCATTGCTGTGTAGTGCTTCACTATCCACTACATGGATACACCACTCTGACCATGCACCACTGAAGGATACCTGGGTTGTTCCCAGTTTCTGGTGACTACGAATAGAACTGCTATAAATATTCATGTACAAGCTTTTGTGTGAACCCAAGTTTTAATTCACTTGGGTAAATATCTAGGGGTGGGCTCTTAGTCCATTTTGAACAGTTATTGTTTTATTTTACATAAAAATTTAAAATTTTACTTTTTAAATATAACTGTTATTTCAATACGAGCATTTTGAGAAATGTGGTTTGTAATGGAAGAAAACAGCAGAATAGTTTCATTTTTTAGGAATGAGTACTTTTCATGAAATATATCAATGTGTTTTAGAAATACTAATAATATACCCTGACAAAACACCAGGATCAGTCAACTGCTACACCTGAAATTTCACTAGAAATCAGGGAACCAAAGGCAACGGTCAAGGAAAGGTCAACTCCAAATAAACAAATACCTCTGGGGCTAATTCGCACTGCCCCCTGAACCCCGGGGTGCACTGAGCTCTGTGCTCAGGAGCGCTGAGGGCCCCTCGGAGTGAGTCCTCAGGCAGGGAAGGCGCCTGAGCCTCCCGGCTGCCCCAGGTGTCTACCAGAGCATGGGAACGGTGCCTCCCGGTCAGGACTGTGAGAAGCAGCCTCTTCAGTTCCACTTACAGTAAGTCCATGCCGTGTGACCACCGCTCCAGGGAAAGACGGGGCCGTCGCTTCTTCAGTCAGCGAGAGCCCCGAGCTGCTCCCCGCACCTGCCCCGCGCGTCAGCCCTCGCGGCCCCCGGCCGCCCGTACCTGCTCCAGCTGCTTCTGGACCATGCTCTGCTGCTCGGTGACGTGCTTCAGCTGCTCGGCGTCCTCCTCGGGGAACTCGCGCCCGGCCTTCTTGGCGGTGCGCTGCTTGGCGGAGAGTGCCTTCTTGGATTTCCTGTGCGCGCCGATCTGCTCTTCGAGGTATTTCTGCTGCATCTGGAGCAGCTGCTGGGTCTCCTGCAGCCACTCCTCGTACTGCTTACGCTGCGAGTCATCTGAGGGAAAATGAAAAATTCAGCTGTGTTAATTTCCTGAAGAGCCCAACAATACAAAGCTAAACAAACGCACTTTTACCGGGACCTTGCAATAGGTATTCTGAAAACACCATGCTAAACGTTAGACCATAATGTAACTACAAAGTAGGAGGTTTTAGAAAAATATTTGAGAAAACCAAAGAAAGCGTGTCTTTACGACACAGGCTAACTTCATACTTGTCCAGACTATGAATCCAGTCTCTGAAAGCAGAAGACTTTTATCTAACGGTTAAAACAACCTACTGAACTATCAAGTCCTCTAACCCACTGTGTATCTCGTTAAGTCACGTTTACAGACTTTGAAGAGACAAAGTAAGACGTGTGTATTCCATTAAGGTCCAGAGCATGGGCTAAATATCATTTCCACACTAATTCCCCTAAGTTTTATAAGGTTTTCCCTATTTCTCAATAGTAGAGATATGTCCTAAACTGAGGGGGAGGGAACCGAGAATGTCTTAGAAAGGACCAATGTGAAGTCTGTGTTTCATAAAGGAAACCTCTAAGTTAAAAATGCTGGTAATTTTTAAGAATTCTGTGATGCAGAACTTCCATAGATAAGCAGAGGGAGGGAGTAATTAACCCAGTGAAATCTTTTCTACATTTACGACGGTCACTGATATCGCCCCAAAATAGTTGTATCTCTTTGTCTCGCACCAACAGTCCTCCTCTATGCTTTCAGGGCACTTTACTTCACTGATCCCAAGTCAAAAAAAAAAGTGATCTCACAGTAGTGAAATTCAGAATATACCTTTTCGACTCACTATAAGACAAAGAAATAAATCAATACAATTCCAGGATGGACATTAGCTGGAAAATTACACCAATGGAAACAGCATATTGTCATACAATCAGAATGCAACCAAAGCCGATGGGCACAGTAAAGCCAGAAAAAGCCAGTTGGTCACAGCAGTTTGTCTTTAATGCGAAACATGTTCAAATTACGATGGTAATTAACTCAGGTGATTTCAAAGGGCCGGACTCTGGGTTTGGTCCTAAACCCAGAAGTCCCAGGACATGTAAGGACTTGAAATCTAGTCTAAATTTGAAGGGCATTTTCTAAGAACAGGCTTTTTCACAAGGTTCAAAAGTTCTGCTTCTGGTAGAATGAGACCTACCGCAAGGAAAGCCTTTCTGGTTTCTGGAACCAGGAGAGCAGAGGTGAGCAAAATGAAAAATAATGGTGAAAAAAAAAGTTAGCTAAACAGTCCGAAGATTTCAGAAAGGTTCAGTTTGGGGAGAACTTTAAACACTATCCTGAACCGCCTCGGGACCCCGGAGGTAACTCGGGAGGACTCAGTGGCGTCCTGCAGCCTTGCCCTGCACACCATGCTGCTAACCCAACGGGCTTCTAAGCACATTCCCTATGTCGTTCCCATTTAGTGTCCTTGTCACTGAGGCAGACAGTCATTAGAGCAAGAAGAGGTTTAACTCTACAGATTGTAAAGTGCCTGATCTATATATAAAAAAACAAACAAAAAAACAAAACAGCAACAATATTGAAGAGCGCGGGGACGATGATTTTTCTGTATTAAAATATTTATCTAACTATAATTTTTCATGCAGAGGAAAAAAGCAATGAAAATACATGCCTTGAAGAAAAGACGCCAAATAAGGTTTCATAAAGGATGAGGGCACTCAGACTTAACACACCTACACTAGCTCCAAGTTTTTAGAACACAGAGCAAACAAGCAATCCCCAGAGAACAGGTAACTTATTAGATTTATACTTACTGACAAAGCCTGGACCAAAATTTGGAGGATTAGGCCTAGAAAGCTGATGTGTTATACTGCCATCCTAAAATGAGTAAAATTTACAAATAGGTTTATTCCACATTTCAGTTAAAGGGGAAAAACTTTTTTTAAAAAAGAGAAAGAAATGGAAGGGGGAAAAACCCTTTAATATCCTAAGACATCTTTAAAGCTCTCCTTTTAATAAAAAGTAGATGAACTGAGTAGTGACAATCTATTTTCTGAAAATTTTAAACTATGTCTGAACTGTTTCATTTTGTAGATTTCAACTGGAAAACAATTATGTTTGAGGTGAGGGATTATCCATCAGAAATACAATAGTAGGGCAAATCAAATACTGTCTGCACATAGCTAGAGATCATGTAAAACCCCACTTTTTGGTGAAATCTACCTGGTCTCTTCTGCAATTAAGACATAACCATAGGTTGTGGACTGACTAAATTCCACTCCACAGCACACAGTTATATTTATAAACAAAAGCTGTTGTCTCTAACATGTACAGATAATAAAACAAATGTACGCTAATTGAAAATATTAGTCTAATTTTTTAAATAGATGCTGTTTCTTCCAGGGTGACTGAATAAAGTTTTTAATCTCACAATTCCCTGGCAACAATCTATTATGTTTCACTTTGAGAAACCATTTATTTAGTCGTTACAAGTTTGTTAGATGTGAGCTGTACACAGTTAACAAATATAAAGGACACTAACAGCCAGAATGTTCTACATGTAACCCTTATGCTGCAAGGCAGTTGGGGACCATGTGACAGGTCAGAAAATGCAGGTCACAGAATGTGTAAGTAACAATGTTGCACAGGAGATTCAGAGTGGAGCTGAGTTTTTGTAAAAATTAATTTATGAAGCCTATGCTTTTTCTACTGCCTAAGATGTTCTCTCTTCTTTTAATAATAAAAAGAACATAGTTATCAGCATAATAAAGCTAAAGCACAACTAGCTGGGCAGAAAAGAAAATTCTGCAAAGACATGTAGTAGGTAGTTTAATAGGTAGCTTTCTTTTTTTTTAATCTAGGTAGATACTTGAAAAAAAATCATTGAAGAAAATGCTGTATGAGATGAGCAGTTAGTTCTATTTTCCCCAACATTGCCTGACACTAAATATTTATATATTTATCCTTAGAGCTGATGATCATGAATGGTGAATATTCAAAAAACTAAATTATTCCAAGGAAAAGATAGAAGACGACTATATCTAAATAGAACGATTATAATCAGTATTTTCTACTGTTTATAGCAGATTTATGTTTTTAAAATAATGAATTAAATCCAAAATAAAGGACATGAAAATGTCTTTGTGGAGTTAAATAAAAACTAGGAGAGATTAGCCAAAGAACATATATGCACAGCCCATGGACATGGACACAGACAATGTGGTGAAGGCAGGGTGGAGTGAGGGGTGGG